TCCCACAGGAGAACCTAAACAAGCTGATGACCAATCTACGGAGCACTCACCCCCATTTTGTTCGTTGCATCATCCCAAATGAAACAAAAACACCTGGTAAGATTCTCAAGCAGAAAGAGAACTTCCTCTGATACAGCCATGCCTGGTCCGCACTGGAGACTGTGGTATTCATTTATGCTCTGAATTGCTAGGTGCCATGGAGCATGAACTGGTACTTCACCAGCTGCGGTGTAACGGCGTGCTGGAAGGCATCAGAATTTGCAGGAAAGGTTTCCCCAGCAGAGTCCTCTATGCTGACTTCAAACAAAGGTGAGAGCTATGAAATGAAGAGATAAGTCAGGTGTCCTCACTGACTGCTGTTCATCAAACAGTCAAACTTTGCCAGTGTCTCTGAATATGGAAGCACAATAGAGCTACCCAAGCCAATGCTTACAAGATTAAAAAATGCAAATTGGGATGTGGGTACAACACATTCTCAGACAAAAATGACAAACTCAGATAGAGTGCTTTGGCCATTGTATCAGCTGCAAGTTTCAGGGGAAGATGCTTTCCGCCTATACACAAAGTGGCAATGTTCCTCTCTAGCAACTTTCTACAGCATAGTTTAAGTGAAGAAGGCATCGGACTGAAATGGCTGGAGATCAGTGTCCTCTTTTCATCTATGACTGATCACCTGAAGACAGTAAAAGTTTCCTTAATTTTGTTATCAGATTGGGACTTCATTGTAACGGTGTCTCTAAACAAGGGATGAAATTCCATCTTCCTCAGCCTCATTCTGCTGCAAAGACTGTGGTTAGTCTCAATAAACAGTGTTGACTTATGACCTGAGATTGCCTTCATTCATAGTTCCTCTCACCCCACAGATACAAGGTGCTTAATGCCAGTGCTATCCCAGAGGGACAGTTCATTGATAGCAAGAAGGCTTCTGAGAAGCTTCTTGGGTCAATCGATGTGGACCACACCCAGTACAAATTTGGCCACACCAAGGTACAAACCCTCCTTGACTCACTCACTGCATGTCTGTGCTTTGCTCTACGTGACAGTGATGTGCTGCAACATTCCCTTTCGCAAGGTGTTCTTCAAAGCTGGGCTGCTGGGACTCCTGGAGGAGATGAGGGATGAGAAGCTGGCACAGCTCATCACCCGCACACAAGCCATGTGCAGGGGCTTCCTGATGAGAGTGGAGTACCGGAGAATGGTGGAGAGGAGGTAGACATTCCTCATCCTCAGTCAAAGTCACTGTACTTGGGGGAAAGTGTTGGCACTTGTCATACTGAAAATATTCAATGTACATTGTAATTATGCTTCAGGGAGTCCATCTTTTGCATCCAGTACAATATTCGTGCATTCATGAACGTCAAGCATTGGCCCTGGATGAAGCTGTTCTTCAAGATCAAGCCCTTGCTGAAGAGTGCAGAATCGGAGAAGGAGATGGCCAACATGAAGGAAGAGTTTGAGAAAACCAAGGAAGAGCTTGCAAAGTCTGAGGCAAAGAGGAAGGAGCTGGAGGAGAAAATGGTGAAACTGGTGCAGGAGAAAAACGATCTGCAGCTCCAAGTGCAGGCTGTGAGTAACATTATTCTACTTTTTTGTTTGGTTTTTTTTTATAAGGGAAATGAGTAAATAAGATCTAACTCTTCTCTCATACTACAGAACTCTCACACTGCATACTAAACTGCCTTACAAAATATTTTAAGCTGAATACCATGTAACTAGAGGTAAAATTCAGGCCACATTCTTTCCCCACTCAGTCTCACTATTACAAAGTGGAGATCAAGCTAAACAATGACTTTTTAGTCTTAATGCCTACATGTACATGTCTCCATGTGAGTTCGTGACATAAAGCCTCGTTATAGTCACTGTAGTGTATTTAGTGGAGTAGGGACAGTGATTCAATTGACCAGCTACTCTGCCTTAGTTCAGTGGTCAAAATGAATAGTCTAGCGCCATTTCTTATGGCGTATCTCACCTGAGCTCCTGTAGCTACTGCTCCCAGAAGATGCAGATGCCCATTACGTCCTACAACACAAGTGCCAGCCTTGTACACTTGTCTACGATGCCATTTGGCCTCTCAGAAACTCAGGGAACACTTAGGCAATACCCTTGAGTTGAAGCGTCCATTTCAGGGAAAGATGAATCTTGTTCTAGCCTCCACTGACTGTATTGGCTGGGTATAAATCATGAATGGGAGCTTCAAATATTTCCTCAGCGGTAGAATTATTTACCTTTCTCAATACTTCCACATAAATCTGAATATGGCACGTTATAAAATACAATCACTTTGCAAAGGAGAAAAGGAAAACATCGATTAAATCCAAGTAACCCACCGACATACCTGAAATAAGCAAGGTAAAACGTAATGGAGCTAGACACAGTATCTGATGACAAAAAAAGGTCATAAAAAAATAAACCTGATTAAAAACATATTCTAAATTTGTAATTTTTAATGTAATTGTGCAGTAACCTTTTCCCAAAAAAGTAATCTCCAAAAAGGTCTTACTGATGCACACCTGCTCCTTCAGCACTAAATAAGCTTTCCTGTATTTTCCCACCAGGAAGCTGATGCTCTAGCTGATGCTGAGGAAAGATGTGACCAGCTCATCAAAACCAAAATCCAGCTGGAAGCCAAAGTAAAGGAGGTGACTGAGAGGGCTGAGGATGAGGAAGAAATTAATGCTGAGCTGACAGCCAAGAAGAGAAAACTGGAGGATGAATGTTCAGAGCTGAAGAAAGACATTGATGACCTTGAATTAACACTAGCCAAGGTCGAGAAGGAAAAACATGCCACAGAAAACAAGGTACACACATGGGGAGTCACATAAAGGGCCAAGACATCACTGACTCTCAGAGTTAGAGCCTGCTACCGTAAGACACCTTGGCTTTGGACAATTCTGAGATGGGCCTTGTCTGAGCATCCAAAGGATAAATGAAAGACTTGGCAAAACAAGGCAAAGTGAAAATGTCACCATGCCAGTGAACTTGTTTTCTACCAAATTTTGACACTTGCTCATATTTGTAGGTGAAAAACCTTACAGAGGAGATGGCAGCCCTGGACGAGACCATTGCCAAGCTGACAAAAGAGAAGAAAGCCCTCCAAGAGGCCCATCAGCAGACACTGGATGACCTGCAGGCAGAAGAGGACAAAGTCAATACGCTGACCAAAGCTAAGACCAAGCTGGAGCAGCAAGTGGACGATGTAAGCACACAGGCGTACCTCAAGAACAGGACAGGTATGGAGTTAAACCTGGCTGACGGAGCGCTGATGGTCTTGTTTGTTTTAGCTGGAAGGGTCCCTGGAGCAAGAGAAGAAACTGCGCATGGACCTTGAGAGAGCTAAGAGGAAACTCGAAGGAGACCTGAAGCTGGCCCA